TGTACTAGTCCAGACTTAAGCTGGTTTTATAGTGCTAGCCCACTGAGACACCATGCCGCAGTGAAGCATGAATACCCCACTCAGCCACATTATACTGACTCCGAGCCGACCAGTCCTTGTTGTACCCATTAATGCCGAGCACCAGGCAGGGACCAACAAGTACCATAGTTTAACGTCTTTCGGTATGACGCGGCTGGGGATCGAACCCGCGACCGTCCATTCTCCGGGCGGACGCTCTAACCACTACACCACGGAGGCGGTCTTGTATTTCAGTTAAGTGGGAAATAAGAAAACACTTTAAAAAGAATTTACTTTATTTATTGTTAAATTCAAAAATACCTGGTTTCAGGAGTAAGATTGTATATAAAACCGGCATTAGTCTAGACAAGTAGACATGTTCAGAAACAATAAGTGCAGCAGTCTTCAGCACGGCGTTATACCCCATTAAACTCTGCATTGTACACAAATACAAAAACAAAAGTTGAAGCAAACCAGATTTCTCAAAATAGAGCTCCATGTTTCGATAGACTTTTAATGTCAATACCCAACAGTAGAAGACTATAGACCTTTCATGTCAATACCCACCAGAAGACTATAGACCTTTCATGTCAATACCCAACAGAAGACTATAGACCTTTAATGTCAATACCCACCAGAAGAAGACTATAGACCTTTAATGTCAATACCCAACAGAAGACTATAGACCTTTCATGTCAATACCCAACAGAAGACTATAGACCTTTAATGTCAATACCCACCAGAAGAAGACTATAGACCTTTAATGTCAATACCCAACAGAAGAAGATAGACCTTTAATGTCAATACCCAACAGAAGACTATAGACCTTTCATGTCAATACCCAACAGAAGACTATAGACCTTTCATGTCAATACCCAACAGAAGACTATAGACCTTTAATGTCAATACCCAACAGAAGACTATAGACCTTTCATGTCAATACCCAACAGAAGACTATAGACCTTTAATGTCAATACCCAACAGAAGACTAAAGACCTTTCATGTCAATAATATTCAGGAGAATCTAGAACTTTAACGTCAATACTATCCAGGTGTTCAAGAAACTGCAGAGGTCAAACAAGATGTTCGAGTTGCTGCAGTCACTTGTCAACTGCTTTAAGGAATTTAACACTCCCGCGGAATTCATTACATCCCTTGTATAAACAGATTGACACAATTAAAGCATGTGTCACTGCCACAGTGACATTTACATGTCATTAACATAAACAAATACCTCCTACAAACAAGAGAAATTTATAACTTAGACACACCGTCTGGAGATGTCGCTTACAAAACGCTGAGTATGGCTGAAATCTGTATCAGTTGGGAGTTTATTATATAGACCCTTAACTACATAATTCAACATATAATGGAAATGTCAGATGAAGTGTTTGAATCAAGAAACAAGCTACTGTACAGAACACACACGCAGGGCAGGGAGCAAGCTAGGTACATATGGGAGTAAAAATAATTACAAACATGAAAGGTAAATATGCAAATAATGTAATAAGATAGAAGTGACAAAACTTTTCCATGTCCATAAGAAATCTCTTATAAAAGCTCAGTCAATTGTACAATTCTGACTATATCATGAGCATGTATTTGTTTCAGCAGTATTACAGGTGTACAATGTTGATTGCAAACAAATAGAGTCTGGACCAGACAATCCCATGATTGTCAGCATGTGATACGATGACAGAGCATGTGTTAATAATGTAGTAAAGATTAAATTCAAGTCTACAGTATTTTCTTTGAACTGTTTGTGAGGATTTTTGTGACAGACTTCGCTTTTAGGAGCAAGGATTCCAGACATTTGTGAAAAGTTTGTTATCATTGTGTCTTTCAGTACGACTATTTAGACTTTACATAAGAAAGTGTATTTCACCTTCTACCTATTTTTTGTTTCATATCTTGCATATTCTCTGGTCAGCAGGTCCGTTCATGTATCTGCCTCTTTTACCTCCAAATTTCAGCAAGTGAGTCTCAATGATATAGTGTCGACTTAGAAAGAGTTGAGTTTGATGTCACTTAACAATATGCATTCACTTAAGTGATTGAGTTTAGTTTTACGCCACACTCAGCAATATTCCAGCTATATGACGGCGGTCTGTAAATAATAAAGTCTGGACCAGACAATCCAGTGATCAACAGCATGAGCATCCATCTGCACAATTGGGAACCAATGGCATGTGTCAACCAAGTCAGCGAGCCTGACCACCCGATACCGAGCCTGACCACCCGATACCGTTAGTCGCCTCTTACGACAACTATAGTCGCCTATTGTGGCAAGCATGGGTTGCAGAGGACCTATTCTAAACACACACACACACACACCCCACCCCCGGGATTCATTCACTTAAACAAAAGCGTTGGCTAGTCACGCCGAAGACTCGGGTTCGATTCCCACATGGGTACAATGTGTGAAGCCCATTTCTGGTGTCCCCCTGCCGTGATATTGCTGGAATATTGCTAAAAGCGGCAAAAAGCCAAACTCACTCACTAACTCATTGAGAAGGATCGGGTAATTCTAACAGTTTCCATATGCTTACTGAACAATAGTTATTGAGAAAACATTATATCATAACACTGGAATAATAATTTAATAAACTAAATGATCTGGCCATTCAGAGAACGAAAACAAAACCAACAGTGAAAATCGCTGCGAAATTTACCATGAAACTTAAACAGTGCTTCATAAATCAAATCACTTCTTAAAAAATATAAACAGTTTTGATAAAAAGGTTTTCATACTTATTACAGCTTGCGACAAGAGCCACTCTCCCAAATGAGTCTGTATTTTCTTTCAGTTCAGTTGATAACGCCAAAAAAAGACGCACTCTGGCTACTATGTTGATGTAATGAATTGGGATGCAATTAAAGTGAATATGATATTCTTCTAAAAAAAGTACAAGTAAATTTCACCCAATAATTATAATTTTCTAACTTTCTCTAAAATGGAACTTCACAACACCCAGCTGAATACTCTCCAAATATGACCAACAAAGGCATATGAATCATATTTGTGACAGTGTCGATCAAGGATTAAGTGGTTGGCAGGATAATTAGATGCAGCCCCAGACATCCCATCATTAATGAGGAGACTCAGACACGATCAATCTGTCTTTACTTCACAGGGGCCATCAAATTAATCCCTTCATCAAATATTTTCCTTCACGGATTATGTCACTTTTCGTCCCCTCTGATTAACTTATGCACAATTTAATGTGGGTCCTTGTTTCAATATTTCTCTTTTCACATATACTACACTAAAACCCTAAGGACAAATACTTTTAACTACTAGAAATCCTCAGTCAAGCCTTGACAGATTAATTATAGCAATATGAATGGATGGTCCTTAACTTGTTTTGAGCAGTATATAACAGTAAATAAACATGAGGACAAGGTGAAATTGATGTGGTTACAAGCTACAAAGTGCGAGATTTATATCCACTTAAAGCTTCATGAATCAGTCTCTAGTAAAACAGCCTTTGTTATTGAAATCAATTGGAATTAATTCATATAGTCTTTATTTGTAAAATGTTAAATGCAATTCTTTAAATCTGTTGTAATAGATTTGTTTTTCTATTTTAGTGGACTAATGTCTGTATTTTAACAATTGAGGTGGTGGGGTAGCCTAGTGGTTAAAGCGTTTGCTTGTCACGCTGAAGACCCAGGTTTGATTACGCCCATTTCTGGTGTCCCCACAGAGATAAAGCTGGAATACTGCTACATGCGTGTAAAACTAATCTAAACTCACTCACAACAATCAAAAAACATTTTCAATTATTATTGATGTACTGCAAACTGTTCACGCCATACTTCAAAGACATTTGAGCTAAATTTAAACTTTAATCTATTTATCTGAAAAATAACAACAGATGTATCAGGAGAATATTCTTTCCACAATTCTCTCGATCAATGACAACTTCAAATTGACTCAGCACACATCCTGAAACTTCAAATAAAACTTTTTACTTCTCAACTCTCATACTCAGAGCTGAAAATGAATCACCAATTCCCAGAGCCAGCTGTTTAGAAATTAAAATCTGCAGACAATTCAGTTTTAAGAACTGTCTGCAAAATTAGTCACTTCTCCTTTCTGACAATTTTTCCCTCAAGAACTGGTCCTCCAACCCAACATGTGACTTTCTTTTCACGCCTACAAAATGCAGGGTATTGAATCGCTAATGCCTTACCCCATCTGTCTAAAGAATAAAATCTGTCAAGAATCAACTCCTGAGATGTCTCCTAAAGATCCGAGTCTCTCGTACTTCATACCCCTGAGGCTACCTCAGTCAGATACAAAAGATCAATGTCTGTTGACAAGACCCTGTGGGTACAGTTCAGGGTCTTTAAGTCAGACAATCCACTTTATTTCCCAGCATCGTCTTGTAAGAACAATAGGGCAAACATGCCTTAAGGAACATTATGCGCTTAATCTGCGAAGAAATTAAATATTCACTTGCAATCAGCGATATCTCTGTAGATTAATGAGGCAATTTATCCCGAAATCAATCAAACTTTACAGTTTGCTTTATTATTTGAATGCTTTACAATTTAAACTTTTGATTTTAAAAGTTTTAAAATTGTCAAATTTTATGTTGATTCTCTATCAAGAAAAGTCACTGTGACATTTAGTGAAATGTGAAGTCAACGACACATGTGTTGAATACATTGAAAACTAGTGTGGGAAAATCTTGGACAATAAATTTCAAGCATATAAAAAATTTCACATGCTAAGCCTTCAGGATGACAAGAATCTGAGTGGAGTTGACACAGGAAACACACGAGTAATCGATATAACAAGGGCAGGTGAAACTGACAGCCATGTACATGTCATCGTTGTAACATCATAACTCATAACTCTCACACAGTCACAAACCAGTGAATCTGAGCACACAGATGGGAGGCCTGGTCTGCCTATGGAGAGCACTGGCCTGACAGATTTTCAAGGGACTATCAACTTTGTACCAGGTACTTACCACTGAAACGAAAGCTGAATCTGTGGTACAAAACTCCAGACAGGTTTGTCACACAATAAAACAGTCTTCAGCCACGATACACAACTTTTGGTCCACTTTACACCCCAAATTTCGATGTTCCTCTAAGTATCCATGCTCACAGCCTCTCAAGACAGAGCCTGACTTCACAATGCCTGCCTGACCTACTTCAACCCCTGAAGGTTCAATGTCATTAACTTGCACCAAGCTGAACCAATCAATAGATAGGGTTGTGAGCTTTGGACTGGTCCATGTTGGTGTGGAGGGGTGATAGGAGGTGATTGAACCTCGGGCTAAACACAACACTATGCACTGTTTTCTTGAGGTGGTGTTCTGTTCTTTATAGGCTAAGCCAGACAGAGGGATTTGAGAGATGAAATGATTTTCTCCCTGGTTGAATCTTACAGGACACATGGCTCAAGGGATAATGTATTAAATATCTGTTCATAAAATTATAATTTTTTACATCTACAGTTGTTTTTGTTACTTATCCTAGACTTAATACATAATATACAGTAAAGTGTGCTGAGTCAGCAGAATAATTGTAACATGATAGAGTTATGGCTGAAAACATTTAAACAAATTATACAACATTCCTTTGAAGTTAATATATCAGAAACATTACATAAATATACTATTAAATTTAATGTTTATGGCAACAGAAAATATGAAAACAGATCCTATTTCAGAAAAGTTGGAAACAGAATTTTTCAAAAGACTGACATGTATCACCGTGATGACAAGCTTGAAGCAATGCCAATCTGGATTAAGAGACATCAGGACTCTGTACAATATCTGGCTGTGTGTTGACAGTTTTACGTCAGTGAATTCCATCAGAAACACGAAGAAGCAGAACAAGATCACTTCCCGCAACAACTTCAAACATATCTGGCATAAGAATGTTCACATCTCAGAAATCAAGTTTTTAAATATTCCATCTCCAATTTTTAAAAAGGATTATTTGCATTCTGAACAAGCCCTTGTCAGCAATGCAATCATGGTTCTGAGACCACTACACAAAGGTCTGAAACAGAAAGGTTGAAGTGAACATGATAAATTTATGTTTAGAGTAATTGTGTAAATTTCAAACGATTGATGCACAATTCAATTGACTGATTAATAAAAATGCCATGGAAATTTTAAAATTGTATTAACAAGAAAAGTGACAAAATGTCACTTATAACTGAGAAACTGAAATATAGATCGGTTTAATGCAATGTACTTTTCTCAGTATTTCTTGATCAAGATTCTTAACAGCATGTTATGAATGCACTTCCTTAAAGTTTCCTGTACTTGTTGCCTGTACTCAGTTGTACATTCAGTCGTAAATTCGTATTTCTGGCAGTTAGTCACCTCTCAATCATGATGTCAAGTAAGAATACAATGAAATAGCTCCCCAATGGGGCAGTTAACTGTAGTTGGGCCATTGTTTTCATTCATTACAACACAGAAACATGATACCTTACATATTCACTGGTATCCTAAACACACCATGGAGCCTGATGCAGTGACCCAATTATTTACATAAACAAACTCCCAAACAAACAATTGGGTCATTAGCTTTTGTTATGTTGTTTGTTCTTGGATGATCATTATTTACAGGAAGGTAATCAAGCATTATGACATTCAAATGACCAGTGGAAGACAGTGTTGAGTCCTAAACTATATAGACAGGTTCAGAGGAGACATAAATATTTCACAGCCTCCAGCTTAATAAAATAGGGCCTAGCATACAGCCTTGCCCAAACCCATTGCTGCTTAGCTGTAGGGTATCTGAAAACCCAAATATTTACTTTAAGATATTAATTAGGACACTGTTAATTAACTACATCAATTAATTATCAAATACAGCTGTTTAATTATACTGACAAAGAAATAAACAAATTCTTACAGTATGATTTATATTTAACATAAAGGAAAATATTAGCTTAAGTGTTTAATGTAAACAGTAATTACACTTCGGTGATTCAAAATAAAGCCTGTGAAACAGCATTAAAAGTCTTTGTCTTCAACATAAGCATAAACATAAACATACAATATATCAAGATCAAATAGGAATTCCCTGGCAGGGAAAATAAAGAAACATGACCTACCCTTTGAAAGTAAAAAAATGTGTAGTGCCCTAACAGGTAGGTACACTGCTAAATAAACTGGATATTGGGGTTTGTGGACTGGGGTGTAGTGGTGACCAATTATCTAGCACTTGTCGTACCCAATCTCTCACAAGATGAAAGGTTCACTCTGTGTTGTATAAGCACTGACTCAAGAGTTAATCCTCGGAAAAAAGATTGCGTGCAGGCCGTTATTCAGCTTATGTGTGTGTAATATATGACTTGACACTCTGACATATATTCAATTTCATGTAGTTAATTATGTCCCATGACTAGTCACTTGATATACTAACTGACTTTTGAAGAAAAACGTGCACCTGAATACATATGGCCCATAATTCCTGATTTGTATAATGGATTTGGGAGCCAATATGGGCTGGGCGTTTCGATAAAATGAATGTCCGACATGATTCCCATTCCTGGGTTGTTTGTTACGATCATGTTATCATCTTCTTAAGGAAAATGTTTGATGTTAAATCTATTGGGTGAAATAGGATTTAAAGATGGAAAAAATTAGAAAAATTATATAATCCGTACTTTTTAATTCCATCAGCTGCATTCTTACATCAATGCAGAAGAGAAGGGCTGAGCTTCATGAATGATGCAGTACTCCTAAATATACGGCCATTATAAGGACACTATTAGTGATGACTGACTGACTGAGTTTGGTTTTACGCCGCTTTTAGCAATATTCCAGCAACATCACGGCGGGGGACACCAGAAATGGGCTTCACACATTGTGCCCATGTGGGGACTCGAACCCGGGTCCTCGGCGCGACGAGCCAACGCTTTAACCATTAGGCTACCCACCGCCCCCACTATTAGTGATGACACCTGATGTTTGCATAAACGGATAAACATTTCCTAACCTACTAGTGGCAAACACCAAAGAGATAACATGGAGATATTTGTTCTAATTTGTTTACAAATCCTATGAAATTAAAATTGAATTAAAATTAAAATTAAAATTAAACAAAATCGGAAAATTGGAGAAAAAAAATCCACCACTTTCACATTCCATAGACTGGTAACTTACAGTAAGTATTTTATAGCAATTACATTAAGACTCAAGAAGCGAGGAGTCCAGGGCCCCGTTCCTCAAAGCGATCGTAGCGCTACGACAGTCGTAAGCCCACTTATAGTATGGGAGTTACAATCATCTTAGCGCTACGATCGCTTTGAGGAATGGGGCCCAGCTTCACGAATGTTGCATTTCTCCTAAGTATAACTATATAATTTCATATTGAGCATCAGGTGCAACCAGTTTGTCTGGTTCAACAAGGTTATTACCTATGGTTGCACTGGGTGCAAGTAAGTTTCATTTCCTTAAATGAAGTCCTGATAAGGATATTACATGGAGAGGAACTGAGTACTTACATAGAGCTTTAACAGCTGTTCTGTTCAAATTTGGACCTAACAATGCTGGCTGGCCCTGGTACACAATGTAGCTATATATACAGCCTAGTTTCAGGTGAGCTGACATTACCTGTCAGCAGGAAATAGACATGCGTGGATTTCAGTTGAAATTTACATGTATCAGATATCAAAGGGGTAGATTTAATCTGACCTGTGTGTACAATAGTGGGTGAAATTAGCACATTAATGTGAAATCAACCGCTCAGTGGCTCTAATTATAGGATGAGGAAGAATCCAATGTCTATTAATCGTACAGTTGCTGGATATTAGCGGATTAATTATTTGTTTTAATAGTCATTGCGACAATATTTCCTTTGATTTTATCATATGAAAGTTTTGATAGAGTTTGGTTTCAGATTTCTTTAAGAATGTTAGGAACATATCACTAAAGTATGGCCAGATCTCTCAATAAGAAATGTTGAAATGAGATTTTTATGTGTTTTGCTTGTAAAACTGTTTAACACCTCTGCTAAAATAAATTTAATCTTTTCATGCAGTTTGAAGAAACTGAGCTCTAATTACAGTAATACTGCAGCTCAGACTCTAAATTAAGCATTTTTTGTGTTAATCATGTAAATTAGTAAACAAGTTTTTTAAACAAAAAAATACCAACTTAAAATTTCTTACAATAGGAACTTAAGAGACTATTCATAAATTTTTACATGATACATGGACAAAAACTTTGCTAAAATCTCATTTTGATCACAAAACCGTGATCTTTAATTTATACATCATGGTAAATGTACACAAAATATGCAGAAAGCAATATCAATGGTACTTATAAAAGTACTAACACTGACAGTAATCGTAATATCTGTAATCCTTAACTGTCTTCAAATTCCTTCTAATCAAATTTATGGTATCACATTCAAAGAATATGTTTAGAAGGTATATAACAGCTGTACATGAACCTTAACATCCCACGGAACTGTTTTTTTAAAAGAAGCTAAAACAATTCTTCACATCTTTCCTGTCTCTGCAAACACTAACCTCTACTTTAGGTAATGATGGCAACATGCACACACCTATACTGTGAGCACATCTCTAGCCACACAAGGCCAACAATATTTGTTTTAACCCTTGTCTAATACAAACATTCAGGATCGCATGAGAATTGTATAAGAATAAATTTTATACCATGCCTAGGCAAATGGGGTATTGTAAGATAGCTTTTTTTCTCCTCTACCAAACAAGTACCCACTTTCCTACCTTTGTTTCATTTAAAAATAAATAAATTATAATTTGGAAAAAATTACTTCCACAGTGTTGATAGAGTTAACTTGCCATCAGCTTCTCAGCGACAGCGGTGCTTTGCAATATCTGTTGAGACAGGTCTAACATTCCGTAAAATTAAACAGAGGTGTCCGGCAAGGTAAATAATTACATCCATTGTATTTTTACATTTGCTCCAAGCATACAACAATTGCCTTTCATTCTGAATCTGACATTTCACAGCCTGTATGATATGTTAGATTTTTTTATGTTTGTATGGGTTAAAAGGACATTGAAGTTTTCACACCTGATCATAGAAAAGATAACCTTGCTGACTTCTTATTACAAAATACAGGAAGTTAGAACTGTTTCTTTGTTAACCTCTGATTGTAAGGGCTTTTCTCACCAGGGAACATATCAGTTTCACCT